GGCACCTTTCTGGTCCGGGCCAGCTCTAGTAAGAGTCCCTCACCCAGGCCCCCCTCCCAGGACCCTCCCCTCAGCAAGGGCTCCTCCCCTCCCCACCTGGCCCCTCCCTCCTTCCACTCAATCACCACCTTGTTAGTGTTCTGGGAATCCACCCAGCCCTTCCCCCCACAGCTGCCGCTTGGTCAGCCTCACCCGCCTCATCTTGACACAACAACCAGAAGCTTCTCCTGGCGCCTTCTTCGGCCTCTTCCTCCAGGCCTGTCTCAGCCTGGGGCCAAAATTAACGTCTGAAACACTCCCCTGCCCAAGCACCTTCAATGGCTCCCTGCTACTCTGGGAATACAGTGCACACTCTGGTCCTGTGGATCCGGCTCTTTGAAGCCCCACCCTGCTCTCTCCTAGTCCAACCTCGCTTCTCACCACCCCCACCTCCCGGGGCTCCTGCATACGCCCTCGGGTCACCCATCCACACCCGACACAGGTCTGGTCACTCTTTCCTCTTCCCCGCCCCTCCTGACCCTCTGAGCTGGGCTGACTTCTGCACCCTGCAGAAGCCTCTCTTGGGCTCATTCCTCCAGAGAGCTGCCCCAACATCCCCAGGCTGAGGTCTACAACCTTCCCTGGCTCCCTTGCGCCCTCTGGGGACCACAAAGGCCTCATTGGGTCTCACACAGGCTCTGAGGCCACCCGGCACGTGCTCCCGACTCTGATCCCTGTGCCCAGTACCCAGCCAAGAGAAGCCACAAGCGCATTCCCTCCTGCTCCAGCTTCCTGCAGGGGCCAGGGCTCCAGCTGGCTCTGTCTGGGCCACCAGCGAGTAGCAAAGTCCAAAGGGAGCCCAAGGGGCTCCTCAGAGATGGACGGAGGCAGGTGTTCCCATAGGAGAGTCTCCTAGGCTGGGGCCTTCACTCTTTACTCCCTGAAAACATCATTTAAAAATGCTCCTGGAGGCTGGGCGCCGCGGCTCAGCCTGTCATCCCAGCACTTTGGGAGACCGAGGCGAGAGGATTGCCTGAGCCCGCGGGTTTGAGACCTGCACGGGCAACTTGGCAAGACCTCGTCTCCACAATAAATCAAAAATTAGCCGAGCGTGGTAGTGTGTACCTATAGTTCCAGCTACTTGGAAGGCTGAGGCGGAAGGATCGCCGGAGCCCAGCAGGTCAAAGCTGAGGTGGCTGGGAATGTGCCACTGCCCTCCAGTCTGGGTGACGGAGTGGGACACCGACTCCAAAAAAAAAAAAATGCTCCTGGCCAGGCGCAGTGGCTGACACCTGTCATCCCAGAACTTTGGGAGGCTAAGGTGGGAGGCTTGTTTGAGCCCAGGGGCTCAAGACCAACCTGGGCAACATAGTGAAACCTTGTTGCTACAAAATAATAAATACATAGATATACACACACCCATATATAAATAATAAAATAATCAAAAAATAACATTAAAAAAGGCTCCCTGTGGCCCCAAGAGGCTGGAGGTAGGGCAGACACGGGCCCGAGCTGGATCCAGCTGGAGAGGAAGATGGGAAAGCAAGGAACAGCGGGTCTTCACCTCCCAGAAACTCCTACTCACCCTCAAGGGCTAGCTCAAAGATCCCCTGTCCCTCCAAAGTCTTTCCCACCAGGAGTCTGGGAAATTTACCCCTCCTGGGCTCATGCCATCTCTGCTGCTCCCAGCTGATCCTGTCCCAGGTCAGGAGGTACCTCAGCACCACTCTCCACCACCACCCGCTGTCCCTGTTGGCAGGGCCCAGTCTCCAGCCTGTGTATCCTGCCCCAGCCCAAGGCCCGAGCTGTCCCTAGACCAGCACACATCTCGTTGCAAGCACATTCTGGCCCAGCCTCTGGTGGTCGACAGTACAGTCCCCGGATCGACGGAGAGAAAGAATTGGCCACGCCGCCAAGCCCCCCACCTGTCCAGTTCCAAACAGGCAGCTGTCCATGTGGGAGCCAGAGAGGCACAAGTGCCCACAGGCACCAAACCCAGCCAGCCCTGCCCCTTCCCTCCAGGGCACCCTCTGACCCTACCCCACAGCCTCAGGGCTCCAACACACAGCCACACCCCACATCTCAGGGTGCCCTCTCCCTGTAGAGCTGGCTGTATTGGAGGCTGAGGGAGTGGTTCTGGGGGCCAGATGTCAGGCTGGGGCCTGCCCTCAGCGGAGGAAAAGAATTGATTGCTGTAGCCCCAAGACCTTCCAGGGCCTTCAGCCTGAATGGGATGGGGCCCAGATGCACCATGAGTTACCCTGTCTGGGCCAAGGAGTGGCCCCGAAAAGATACCTTCGCATCCCAGAATCTGTGGACAAGGGTCTTTACAGATGGAATGAAGCTAAGGTTCTCCACATGGGATCATCCTGGACTTAATCCTGTGACTGTGTCCTTCAAGAGACAGAAGAGGAGACACTGGCACAGCAGAGGATGAAAGAGGCAGAGACTGGAGCAACGTGGCCACAAGCCAAGGAACACTGGGGACCACCAGAAGCTGGAGGAGCGAGAATGACCCTCCCCTGGCCCCCCTTTAGAGCCTGGGAGGAAGCAGGGCCTGCTGGCCCCCTGACTTGGGGCTTTGGGTCTCCAGACCCCAGCAGAATCCACTTCTGTGGCTCTGAGTTGCTGGGTGCGTGCTGATGCCGCGGCTCCCTGGACCACGGGAGGACCTGCAGAGACAGCGGGACAGGCCAGCCCAGCCAGTCCTTCCTACCAGGCCCTGAGAGGCACCAGCTGGCAGGACCCGCTGGCCCCACATGGCACAGTCCAGGTGGCCAGGTGGGTGTGAGTATGGCTTGGAGGTGGTGAGAAGACTGGGTCTCCCCAGGAGGGCCCATCCTCTCAGGCCAGGGTCCCACCATGGGGCGAGAACATTCAGCACCGAGGTCAGTCCTGCCAGGCCAGCCAGTGTGCAAGGTGGAGCTAATTTAAGACACTGCTTAGGGGAAGTGCCAGGTGCCCCCCAGAGAGATCACCGGGGTTCTAGCCACCCAGGAAACACACCCCAGCCTCCGGCCCAAGGAGACACACAGCCCTAACACAGAACTGTCTACAAGCAGAAAACTGCACCAAGATGGGGGATTTTATACCCAGACCTCAGAGGAAAAGTATCCAGTGGGCCCCGTTCCATCATGTCCTGGACAGCACAAGCCGTTCTCCACGGAAATGAGTCCTCCCGCCCCACCAGGCTGGGAGGGTCAGTGCACTGGTGCCACCCGGCTGGCTGCCTGCCTGCGCCCAGAGCTCCACAGAAAAGAGTACACGGGCCTCCCTTCCAGAAACCTCCAGACCTAGGGCACCACACGAGACACAGGGGGCCCCGTGGAAAGCAACCCCAGCCTGCAGCACCTGGCCTGCCGTGTGACGGTGGAGAGGGACGCCGGGCCACGGGTCACCCCGGGGGCTCAAGTCTGAACCTCTGCCTTACCCAAGAAGAAACCTGAGGGCCCATCCAGCAGAAGAGGCCCTGACGCTTGCCCCAGCTCTCCCAAGAGCCACACCCTTCGCCCGGCCCACACAAGTATGCGGAGCAGCCATGCTCTCCACATGCACCGGCTCACAAACCCCGGAGAGCCAGGGCCCGTTGGCCTCTGGCTGCGGCCACTCTGCCAGCCCCAGGGGCCGAGACTTCAAGCCAGACCCGCCCACGAGCCACCGAAGGTCCCGCTCCCTAGCGGAGATGGATCCTGGCCTCCCTGTCCCCCTTTGCTAGACACCCTTGTGGTCCAGGCCTCACCTCAAAGGCCCCAATGGGACTGGCTCCCACCATAAACACACTGAGTTTCCTCCCAGTGCCCACACCGATGGCAGACGGGACACCCCGTGGGCTTGTGCTGGCCCCCAGCTGGCCTTTGCCAGTGGCCAGCAGGGTCCACGTCCCCACCCGCATTCACTCTGCCCTGAGAGATCGAGCCCTACCCAGGCCTCATCAGCGTGCCTGCTGAGAGAGCGGCAGGCCTGGTGTGATAGGGTCACTGCAGTTCCATGCCAGGTCGCCAGGTCGCCAGGAAGCCGCAAGGGCAGCCTCGAGCTGGGCAGCCAGCATGGAGGCAGAGAGGGTGACACACCATCCCATGGGGACTGCAGTGACCCGATATGTCTACACCCCACCTTGGCAACGTGGATGGGGGTCACTATGACCCCACCCCTGCGGCAGCCCTGGCAGCACCACAAATGCACAGGTCATTTGGGGGGTTTCCGTCCCATCCCCCAACATGCAATCTGCTCCTCATCACCTCACCCAGGATGGGTCTTGGGGCCCCTCCCACACTCGGCCCCCTCACTGGGGACATCAGAGCTGAGGGGGCGTGTCCATGAGGAATTCTCTGGCCACAGATGCGTTTCTCTCTGTCCACAGCAGAGCTCACAGTCACGCAAAATTCATTCTTTGTTTATTCATTAAATCTGAACATGAGTGACTCGGATGCTCTGTGGCCTCAGACACAGGGCCACAGGCTGTGACAACGCTGGGAGAACCCCTCCTGGCATCCCCAGGGGCAGGGCGGGGCCAGCTTCAGGAACAGACTTGAACCCAGCACCACAAGCAGGTTCCTGCCTACGGGGCCCACCTGCTCCATCTACAACGCTGGGCCTGAGGGTCTTGGCTCCCAACCTCCCTCCTCCTCCTGTTCCAAGCCATGGCCTGGGGCACATCCTCTGAACCCCAGCTCATGTCCCTGGGAGGACGTGGGACCCACACCAAGATTTCTACCAAGACAAAGCTGCCAGGCGGTGCCCAGCGGCCTCAGCGTGATGGCTTCGGCCCCAGGCAGATGAGGAAAGGAGGCCATGCCCCCTAACCAGGCTGGGCTGGTGGGAAACTCCAATGGGAGAACTTTCTGGAAAAGCATACTCCACCAGCAGAGGGACAGTGGACAGAGTGTGGAGACACCTCCAGGGGCTCCAGAGACACCAGCTCGTGGGCACACGGGGGGCGGCCAGGTCGAAGCCAACAGTTTGAGGGACGCCGAGAGCTGCCACCCAACGTGGCCCAGTGTCCCCCCATGCCGCGTACTTACAGTACCCACACCTGGTCCCGCCTTCAAAGATGAATCCGTTGGGCACGGCCCCGTAGCGTCGGAGATCTGACAGTTTCCACTGTCCCATGACGGCTGGAGGGATGTCCCTGGCCAAGACGAGGATGTCATTGCAGAGGTGCAGGGTGGCCGGGCCGCTCTCCAGCTTGGTGCCTGGAGCCACTGTCACATGGAACCTGTGCACTGAAGGCGGTGGGGCGAGAGGGCATCACCGGGAGAAGGCGGTGCAGTGGGGCGGAGGCAGCCGGGGTGCGGGGGTGGGGAGGAGGTGGGGGTGTGGTCCAGTGTCATCTGGGGAGCAGAGGGCCACCCTGCCCTGGTGCCCGCTCCAGCAGCTGCTCACAGGATGAGCAAATGGCCACAGGGGTGGGGTGCCCAGGGAAGGGGCACACTTGCCTCTCCCCCATCCTTTCAGGAACTGCCTTTGTTCAGGGGGGAAGAAAGCACCGAGGGCCTGACTTTGCCCCTCCCCACTAAAGAGCCAGACTGAGCCTCCGTGAGTTGAGTGGAAGGAGAGTGCTTTCCGATGCTTTCTAGTGCTTTCGTGGCTGGGCTCCTGCTCAAGCATCTCCTTTCAGGAACCCTCCTCCCGCCTGGGCAGCCATGTGGTCCCGTGTCACAGATGGGGAAACTGAGGCTCAGGGAGTCCCCCCCCTCACCTCCAGTCAGCTTGTAGAGAGTCTGGGGTCTGCATCACAGCCCCAGCCTGGCCACAGGGACACCAGACCACCATGGCCTCCCCTCCACCCAGTTAGCCATCCTTGGGGTCCTGGCCACTACCTCAGCTAGCCCTTGGCCCCTGAAGCCCCCAAGAGGATGGCCGTGAGCACCGTCCCCCTCCCCCTTCTCCCTCCTCAGACCGGCCCCACCTCTGCAGGTGGGCGTACCCCGGGAAGCCAGGTCCCCAAAAAACGGAACCTGCTTGTGGGAGCCCACCCACGGGCCCCACTTGCTCCATCTACAACGCTGAGCCTGAGGGCCTTGGCTCCCACACCCTCCTCCTCCTCCTGTTCTAAGCCATGATCTGGGGCACATCCTCTGAGCCCCAGCTCATGTCCCTGGGAGGACATGGGACCCACACCAAGATTTCCACCAGGATAAAGCTGCCAGGCGTTGCCCAGCAGCCTCGGTGTGATGGCTGCTGCCCCAGGCCAATGAGGAAAGGAGGTCATGCCATCTAACCAGGCTGAGCTGGTGGGAACCCCCAATGGGAGAACTTTCTGGAAAAGCATGCTCTACCCTTTTAATATCTCCCCTACACCCTCCTGCCGAGCTGTCCAAACCTCCTCCAATTTCCTCTCCTTGTGAAGGGGGAAGGACTGGTGCTCCCCACCAAGACGGGGGATCGAGATGCTCATCTCAAAGACAAAACTGTTTTAATGCAACATGTAAAAAAAATAAAGAGCAATGCAGCCGGGTTCGGTGGCTCAGCCTGTCATCCCGCGCTTTGGACGGCTGAGGTGAGCGGATTGCCTGAGCCTGTGAGTTCGAGACCCGCCTGGGCAACTTGGCGAGACCTCATCTCTACAATAAATCAAAAATTAGCCAGGCGTGGTAGCACGCGCCTGAAGTTCCAGCTACACGGAAAGCTGAGGTGGAGGGATCGCTGGAGCCCAGCGGGTAGAGGCTGCGGTGGCCGGGAGTGGCCACTGCACTCCAGTCTGGGCGACAGAGTGAGACTCCAACTCAAAAAAAAAAAAGAGTAATGCAGAGTCCATGAGGAACAAGATATGAGTTTCCAAAGATAGGGGCCAGGGTTTCCGGGGTTCTGCTGGGCCAGAGGACATGTGAGTGCAGGGCTGGTGCCTGAGCAGGTCTAAAGTGATATCCTGTTCATCCTGGTCTTTTTGGCATCAGTTTTAATTTTTAGGAATGGCCACATTTTATCCGATCTGCTACTTTGCGCTCAGGGCCCCAGCCCCCCTGCCAGCTTATGGAGGCACAGGGCGGGTAGTTTGCTCCTCTGGGGCAGCCAGAGTGCACCTGCCCATCCACCCTGCAGAGCTGTGACAGGGCCTTGAGAGCAAAGGCCCAGGAGGGCTCCCCTCCTCCACCATTGCCAGCCCTCCCTCCCTCCCCTCCCTCCCTATCCCCCCTCTCCTTCCCAGGCCTCCTCTCCCATGTTGGGGGACTGCCCAGCCTGTTCCTGCCACTCTGCCACCTGCTGCCAGGTGGCTCTGTGGCTCTCTCTCCTACCCAGGCTCTGGCCTGGGCTGTCTAGTGTGGGTCCCAATGGGCACGGCTTTGGGAAGTTGCACCCCTAAGAAGGCCACCTGGCTTGTGTTAAAGGTTCCAGTTCTAACTAATGGGTCAGGGTAGGACTCCAAAGACCCCACGCCCACAAGTATCCATGTCCCCCAGCCTAGCCGGGCTCTCTGTGACCTGGCATCGAGCTCAGGAAGGCTTGAGGTGCCTACAAGTGTCCTATCACTTCTGCGCCACCCCCGGAGTCTCTTCTGCCTCTGTGGCCACGTTGGTGGAGCCCCAGGACACCAAGGAGGGAGGCAGCCCTGACCTTGGACCTCTGCCCCGGTTACTCACCCTCACCGAGCGCATAGCGGATCCGAGCGTCCCACGCGCACATGGCCTCGCGGCTGTCAAAGCCCAGCATGATGGCCTGGGACAGGCAGACAATGGCCAGCGTGTGGGGCCAGGCCCTCGTAGGGAAGGCCGGGCTCCAGGCCACAGATGTCCTCCAGGGTCAGGCTGCTGCGCTCCCGCAGGCCCCTGGCACGCTCCGATTTGTCCTTGTAGGCCAGCATCAGCAGGCAGTCTGCGTGGTGAGAGCGACCGTCAGGGGTGCCAGCCAGCACTGCCCCCCCACCTCAGTCTCCAGCCCCAGGCGATCGTGACCAATGAAGAGAGACCAAGGATGGACCCAAACAAGCCAGTCCACTGTCCCAAGCCTGTTTCCTTGGGTACCAAATGGGGTGATCCCCCACCCTACAAGATCTACAGGCCATGAGGGCCTGGAACATTCATGGCTATACCTGGCCCCAACTCTGGCCCCCCAAAGCTGGATCTGGGACCCCCACCTACAAATCTGTCCTGCCCCAGGCCCTGGAGCCCACCCAGCCACATAGCTGGAACTGTGGTTGGTGACTCGGGGGACCCAGCAGGGAGCCTGGCTAGCTGACACTACAGCCTCCCACCTCAGCCTTGCCGCCCATGCTGGCCCAAGCCTGTGCCCACTCCCTGTCACAAGGAGACAGAGCTCACCTCCTGGTTCTCTTAGTTTCTAGGATACGGCCTCAGCTCTAGCCTCAGGGAGATGGGGGAGGGAATCACTGGGCCTTGGGTCTCACCGCCTTCCACCCAGCCACTGTCCACCCCGGCAAGACTGATCTCTTCTCCTGCTGCAGGGGACATGCCTGCCTTGCTTCCCAGATCCTCCAGGGCAGCTTGGGTCTCTGTCCCCAAGTTCCCGTTTTCCAACGTCACGGTCACTACACCATGGCAAAGCTGATACAGTCCTCTTAGTCTGGGTGCCGTACAAACTGCACTTCATGGCCCCTTGTGCGGCCTTGGGCAAATCACCCGCTGCGGACACATACCTGCTAGTGCCAGGGGCCTGCTGCCTGAGGAAATAAGAGGGTGATCCAGGGGGCAGGGTGGTCCTGGCCCTCTGGCTTCACAGGCGGGTCACCTCCCACCAAGCCCTGCAGCCGGGCCCAGGATGCCTGGTTCTGAAGTGGGTGTAAGTTTGAGGCCAACCACAAACACCTTAACATGTTTATGTGTGAGACAAGCCCAGATCCTGCGTGATGCTCCAGGTGCAGAGTCATTTCTGCACAGACAGGAGGGAGGACGAAGGAGAACCGCCCCCAAGGGAGGGGCAGAATGACACCTCCACCATAAGCCTCTGAAACGCAGGCGCCTACTCTTCAAGCAGGCCCGGCAAACCCAGGTGTGAGTCCAGATCCCAGATGAACTTGACTCAGAAACTGATTTTGCTAGCAGACTCCAGAGCAGTGCCACGGCATTTGCTTCCCCTCCTGCCTGATTTTGCTAGCAGACCACAGAGTCATGGCCACGGAGGCCAGAGGCCAGCAAACTTCCCCGTGAAGGGCCAGAGGGCACACAGTTTCCGCTTCTGGGGCCATAAGGTCTCAGTCATGGCTACTAAGCACTGCCACTGTTGCAGCTTGAAAGCAGTCACAGGCAGCATAGACCAGCGGGCACCGCGGCGTGCCAATAAAACTTAATGTACAGAAGCAGAGCACCTGTGGAGGAGGGGCACGGGGCTTTTGCTTCCTATTTGAGGATCTGTCCGTTGTGTCTGAAATGCTTAGAGCTAGAAAAAAAGCTGAGGCATTCCCAACGCGAGAAAGCAAAAAATCCAAGACCCGCAGAAATCCTTCTGTTCATCCAACAGCCCACCCTGAAAGAGGCTGAGGCAGAAATGGTCCCCCTGGAAACGCCTCGGCTGACAGCAAGCAGCTCAGCCTGGAGAGAAATACTTTGAACAAGGCAACGCAAACAATGTGCCATGAAGGAAATGTCACCAGACGGTCACCAGAGCACACAAGAAATGAAAACAGGAGACACACATGGGCACAGAAAGGGCTTCCACATGGGACAGAGGGACCCCTGAGGGGGAGGACAGCCAGCAGCCACTCTGAACTCGATATGACCGTGTCCTCGGCCCTCTGTGGCCAACGTGTGTCACAGAGTGGTTGCAGGGGGGTCCCAGGCCACCTCTGCCTCTGGAATCCCTGCAAAGCTTGGCCACATCCATGTGGAGAGTGGTAGAAACTTCCACCGCGGATAATCACGCCCCACACAGACCTTGCCGCCACCTCACTGAGGGTCCTACCCAAAGGAGTGATGCCAGGGAGAACCACGACTCTGCCCACCCGGCTGTGTGGCCTCAGTCGCCTCACCTGTGACATGGGGACAATAGGAACCCCACCTGCGTCAGTGCCATGAGGACTGTATGCAGGAGGGTGTGTGGAGTCCCTGCATGCGGTAAGCGCTCAATACAAGTTTGCATATTCCCGCTGGTCGCTTTCAGTTCCGCATCTGCCTTACAGGACGTAACGCCGGGCACCTTCCCTTGGATCTAGCCGCCTGTCCATGACATGTGGCTGGCCCGCAGCTCCCTACAAGGGGCACACGCTTGCCAACCGCCCGCCACCTTCCACCTCTTGGGCTTCAGCTTCCTCAATCTCTTGGTGGGCTGGTCACCCTCGAACCCCAGCAGGACGCCTCCTCCCCTGTGGTCCCAGCCACATCAGGGCAGGCAGCTTCTGCCTCTGCCTCTACCCCTGAAGCCAATCCTGCGGCCCTTGGTTCGCCCGGGCACCATCGTCCCTCCCCTCACTGTCGCCCCTTGGGCCAGGTGCCACCCTCACCCACTGACCTACAAAGGCCCACACACAGCAGCGTTCCCTCCAGACCCTCCCAGTGCCCACCCCTACTGAGATGCTCCCCAGACTCCTCTGGGGCTCAGACTTCCTTCAGCGCCCACCTAGAGACCCCAGAGAGCCCCTGACCATCCTCATCAAGTCCAGCTCCCCCTACCTGCAGTCTCCGGCCTCCCTGGGGCAGTGTCTACACCACTGCCCATCTCCCGATCTACTTGCTCTGAGCTCTTGGGGGCAGCCCCGCCTCTACTAGTGCCCAGGGAAAGCCCCATGGCCAGATGTTCTGTCCACCGCAGGCCAGCACCTCCTTTGTTCAAGGAGTTACGTTGCCAATAATTTGGTTAGGAGAGGCGTCAGCCCCCTTTGCTGTAAAGGGCCTGACAGTAGACATTTGGCTTTCTGGGGTCCGAGGTCTCTGTCACAACTGCGTAGCTCAAAAGCAGCCTAGAAGACACATGCATCAACAGTTATGTGCCGATATGCTCTATTTACAAAACAGGTGGCAGCGGATTTGGCCCAGAGTCCGCTGACTCCCAGCCTGGAGTCGGTTTGCTGCGACAGCTCACATCTTCCTCACTTGGCCACTGCAAGCACGTCTTCCCCTTCCTGGATGTCTATGCCTCTAAGACTGGTTGCGGGGACCACATGCGGGACCCCACGTTTGTCCCTGAGATCTTTTCCTGGTGCACTGATGCCTCCCTTGGCCCATCTGATCTTTCTGGACCCTCTAAATGCAGCCTCACACCCTGCACCCTAGGGACACCAGTGCCTTAGAGAAACCTGCACCTTAGGGACACCTGCACCCTAGGGACACCTGTACCTTAGGGAGACCTGGACCTTAGGGAGACCTGCACCTTGGGGACACCTGTACCTTGGAGACACCTGAACCCTGGGGAGACCTCAACCCTGGGAATGCCTACACCCTAGGGACACCAGCACCCTAAGGACACCTGCACTCTAGGGACACCTGCACCTTAGGGACACATACACCTTGAGGAGACCTGCACCTTAGGGATGCCTGCACCCTAGGGACACCAGCACCTTAGGAATGCATGCACCTTAGAGACCTAGGAATCCATGAGCACCTGCATGCATCTGCAGGGAGCTGAGCAGTGCCTCCCAAAAAGATATGGTCACTCCTAATCCCAGAACCTGTGACTGTGACCTTATTTGGGAGCAGGATCTTTGTCGATGTAACCAAGTTACAGTTCTCAAGATGAACTCATCCTGGACTATCCACTGGGCCCTAACCCAAAAAAACCAGTGTCCTTATAAGAGACAGATGAGGAAGCACAGACACAGGAGAGAAGACCACGTGGAGACAGAGGCAGGAACTGGGGTGACCACCGGGTCTGAGAGGATCAATCTCTGTTATTCGAAAATCCTAGACCGTAGGGCTGTGCCATGAAGACTACACCAAAACTGTTTTTTTTCCCCCCAAATTCCTAAGAGACATGGGAGTCATACCTGATGAAGACTCACAGAGGGGCTTTATGACCCTGTTACTCTCTGTTCTAAAGTCTGTTTTCCTGTACCTTCTGTTTCTAAAGTCTCTTCCTAGAACACAGCACACCAGCCCAAGGGATGCCGGAGAGGGACACAGCAGCCGTGTCCTCCCAGGAAGCCCGGTTTTCCCACCTGACTCTGGCAAAACATCACGTAACAGATAAAGAAGGACCTCAAAGTATGCTGTGGCCCTGCAAAGCCGTCTCATGGGGACTCCCAGTCCCCAAAGTCTGCCACATACAGGACCCATCCACACAGCCACAGGTTCAGCGTGTTTCCACCCTACAAAACTTCTCCTCTACTGAGGCCCCAAACTCCTTGGATAGGAACTGCAAGCTGGCAGTCAGGAAACCCTTAACTCCACCTATGACCTGCAAGCCTCTGCCTGGAAATGTCCTTCCCAGGCTAAACCAACAATGATTGCTATAGCTTTTGCCTCCCTCAATTACATATCTGTATCTTCACCATGGCAGGCACACATTCTCAGGATATCCTGAGGAAGGGCATTGCTGGGCCTAGAGTCATTCATTGGCCAGAATAAACCATCTGAAAATGTTTTTCAGAGTTTGGCATCTTGTCATCAGCAACCATGTCGGCCACAGGACACTGACAACCACCCAAGCCATCTGTTTCTTTCTTTTCTTTTCTTTTTTTTTTTTTTTTGAGTTGGAGTCTCACTTCGTTGCCCAGACTAGAGTGTGGTGGCACGCGCCCAGCCACCTCAGCCTCGACCTGCTGGGCTCCGGTGATCCTTCCACCTCAGCCTTCCAAGTAGCCAGAATTACAGGTGCGCACCACCACGCCCTGTTTTTTTATTTATTGTAGAGATGAGGTCTCACCAAGCTGCCCGGGTGGGTCTCGAACCCGCAGGCTCAGGCAATCCACTCGTCTTGGCCTCC